GGTTTAACCAGGCTGGATTGTGTGAGGAGCTCACAAATCCTTGAAAGATCTGGGCAAGGTCCCATCGGCGAGCTCCTCCGGCGGGCAAGGCTGCGATGGCTGGGTCATGTAGCCCGCATGCCCAGTCACCGCATGCCGAAACAGCTTTTGTTCGGCCGGATTGAGGCGGCTAAACGGGCGCGGCACGGGCTAGAGAAGAGATGGAGTGATGTGGTACAGGAGGACGTGGAGCTGAGTGGACTTGCCGATGACTGGTACCAGCGGTATCAAGATCGGCCTCTGTGGAGGAGGCTCGTGAAGGACGCTACTGGGCAGTTGGAGGCAGTCGCCCTCCAACAACAACGGAGGGCGGAGGAGCGACGCTCACAACAACGAGCGCAGCGCCGGGTGGCTAAAGCACAGCAGGTTGGCACAGTAGGGGGCACAGATGGTGCATCAGCCAGTCATCTCAGTCAGTCGACCCGTGGCACTTGGGTCTGCCCCGTGACCTCCTACCCGCGGGCGTTCGACACTTCACATGGCCTCAAGGTGCACATGGCCTGGCACAAGCGTCGTGGTGACGTCACCGCCACTAAGTGGCGAATGGCGGTTGTTGTATATGTGTGTGTCTCTCTGTGTGTGTCTGTGTGTGTGTCTGTGTATGTGTGTGTATATGTCTGTGTGTATCTGTGTGTGTGTCTATCTGTGTGTGTATATGTGTGTGTATGTGTGTGTCTCTGTGTGTATATGTGTGTGTATATATGTGTATCTGCCTGTGTGTGTATATGTGTGTATATGTGTGTATCTGTGTGTCTGTCTGTGTGCGTCTGTGTGTGTGTCTGTGTGTGTGTCTGTGTGTATATGTGTGTGTCTGTGTGTGTCTGTGTGTGCGTCTGTGTGTGTCTGTGCATGTGTCTGTGTGTGTGTCTGTGTGTGTGTCTGTGTGTGTGTGTCTGTGTGTGTGTCTGTGTGTTGGGGAGCGGTAGCTTAGCGCAAACCGCTACGCTGCGCAAACGAACCCGCCGGCCAGAGTTCGATTCCCGCTCACGGCCAACACCGGTGACGATTATCTGAACCGGTCCCTCCTACCCCTAGGTCGACTCAGCCTCAAAATGAGTGCCTGGCGCGGTGTCTGTAAACATCGCCACAAGGGAGACAAAGGCGGCCGGGCATGGTGCTGGGCACCCAACCCCCTTGTGTTCGTTAACAGCGCTTGCCCCAACAATCTGTTAATGCGACACGGGGTGCGTGGGGGATCTTTGGATTTGTTGCAGTGAGCGAAGTTGTTACACAAAATTGCCCATTCTCATTTGCCAACAACGCACCCAGGGGAAGGCATCAAAGCGAGCACGCACAAACTGCACGCTGGGCCGCGCGTGTGTGCTCACGCGTGCCGTCTCAATGATCCGGACATTGCACGATCTGCACGACCGCGAATCGCGTGCTGCGTGCTGCCAAGCTCGTATTGGTAGCGGCTTCAAGCGCGTCAAGCCGCAAGTTTCAGGTTTTTTTTTCTCTTAAACAATCGTCAGGATTGGAATATGTATCTATAGCGGAGGAATCCGATGAGCTATGAAGCTCTTTTTCACAGATGTCCAGTAGAGAATGAATGAGAATCAGTGTTTATTACTGGAATAATCCGATGAGCTATAAAGCTCGTGTTAACAGATGTTCAGTAGAGAATGAATGAGAATCAGTGTTTATTACTGGAATAATCCGATGAGCTATAAAGCTCTTGTTAACAGATGTCCAGTAGAGAATGAATGAGAATCAGTGTTTATTACTGGAAGAATCCGATGAGCTATAAAGCTCTTTTTCACATGTCCAGTAGGGGAGGGTGAGAACGTGACAACAATTAGTACAACACGATGGTAGTGCAAAGTACAGGTAAGGTAAACACGTCACCCAAACACAAACAAATACAACACTAAACCACCCCCAGCCTACCAGGCAGAGCCCACTGAGGTATTGACTTATTTTCTCAGAAAGCGACCTGGCCATCACGAATGAGAGCGCAACAAAGTGGCCCCATCATTTTGGACATTTTTCGCCGCCGCAAAAATAATCCAAACAACCTCAATGCATTGTCTCGTGCGGGGGGCAGGCAGGCCAGGCCTCTCTGAGCCCCAAACTCTTGCCCGAAAGACATCAAAGTCCCTCCCGTCGGTGGCAGCGAGGACCGAGACTCGCATCTCGGCCCCCCTTCACGTCGTAGTCTAAAGGCAACGAGCGAGAGGCGGTAATGTGCCCTAATTCCTTCATATTTCCACCGCCGCTGGACCCCCCCCCCTGACAGAGTAACACACAGCAGATGTGTATCGCCCGCTTCGTGGGTCTGTGAAGTTCAGCGTCTCGCTGTTATTCCCACCACCACCACCAACCACCACCACCCCGAGGGGGCTTTAATGACTGGCCCGGAGCCAGGGGCGCCTGTGCTCGCCGTTCCGCCGACGGAATTGCCGCCGCGATTGTTTCCATTCGCTTCGTCGGGGGAGGCCTCGTTTGATTAAAATTGGCCTTTACAACTGCGTCAACCTCGTGTGTATGTACAGGGACTCCTCTACATACGAACATTCGACTTACTAACTTTCAGGGATACGAACAGACCCGGTCGATATGTCCAGTTGCCTGTTCCGACTTAGAGTCGTAAGTTCAACCGCCGCGCAATAGATAGCGGTGGTGGCATCTACATCTGCACAACATGAAGAACCAGTGGCATCTACATCTGTAGAACATGAAGAACCAGTGGCATCTACATCTGTAGAACATGAAGAACCAGTGGCACCTACATCTTCAGAACACGAAGGACCAGTGGCATCTACAGGAGATTATACAATTTTAAAGCCATTCCCCGTGCTTAGTGTACATGCCGTATAACACGTTGGGAATCAACAGGAGTAAAGTTGGACTTAGGAACAAATAGACTTACGAACAGACCTCTGGAATCTAACTCGTTCGTGAGTAGAGGAGTCCCTGTATGTTGAACTTCTTTCGCACCGTACCTATGGTATATTTTTGCGATCGGATCCAAAGTGCGATGACCTACGATGGCTTCCAGACCCACATTTGTGCGGTTATTTTTACTCTGAAATGTTATTGTAAGCCTTTGATTGGCTGCAGGGGATCTACATAGGAAACTTTTTTTCTGTCGGGGGTCTTTCAAGGGTCGGTTAAGGATGAGCAACACAGCAGGGGTTTAATTGGGACAGACAGGCCCAATGTGAGGGAGCTCCAAACGATGGACGCGAACTTTTTAGCGAAGCCAAGAGTCGAACAAACATCCAACCGCATGGAAGTAGTCGGGGAGGGGAAGCGCAGCTCTCTGACCGCTACGCCTTACTCAGCCTACAGAGGAAAACATTTTTGCCGACCCTGTCACCATTGATTCATTTTCCCCTTTGCTGTACCACGTGCGCGCCCCTTGAGATGAATTCAATGCTACAGTACGTAATGCCACAGCACGTAGCATTTCATCATAACAACAGTGGAATAATACTAATGACTCCTTTATCGAGGAATGTTTCTCTTAGCCTTGAGCGAAATCGGATGTGCGATAAAGAGGTTTAAGGTACGGTACATACATACAGTAGTACATGCCCCTGCCAATGCAGCAGTTGCTGCAACAACAGAACCACCACCACCACCGTCTACCAAATTATCGTAAATCTTGGATCGGATCGTGCAACTTCACGCCACAGCCCTGCTCGCCGCAGCAACATGCAAACTCGGCAGATTCTGCAGAGCGGTGGAGGCGGGAGGGAGGGGGGCTCGGTCGACAACAGAAATAACAACAAAGAGAAGATGATTAAAAAAAAACAATAATTTCGAATCCCGTAAAAAAAACACAATTCAATATTTCAAGAGCTGGCTATGCCACGTGGTGAATACGAGACGGCGGTGGCGGTTCTTGATACGTGACGCGTCACGAAGTGGGGGGGTCCCTTAAAGAGCCACGGCGTGCCCCCCCCCCCCCCGCTATAAAGTGCCCAACATCCTTCTTGTAAGCGCACCTCGTCTCTGCGGGAATCGTCCACGCTGATTTTAGCGTGGACACCACGTGACAGGCCTGACGGTGGCAAGCGCCGTTGTTGACTCGCGTCACGTGCAGCTTTACGTGCAACTATAATTATAACTTATAATATAATTATAACTATTATACTATAATTATAACTATTATACTATAATTATAACTATTATACTATCATGAATATTATACTATAATTATAACTATTATACTATCATTATAACTATTATACTATCATTATAACTATTATACTATAATTATAACTATTATACTATCATGAATATTATAATCATTACAGCGGGCGTCGAGCTGATCCGGGATTAACGCCACTACCCGCTGACAGAGGAGCCCCCGATGATGGCACCCAGTAGAGAATGAATGAGAATCAGTATATATTACTGGAAGAATCCGATGAGCTGTAAAGCTCTTGATCACATGTTCAGTAGATAATGAATGAGAATCAGTGTTTATTACTGGAAGAATCCGATGAGCTATAAAGCTCTTTTTCACAGATGTCCGGTAGGGGCGGGTTAGAACGTTACAACAACAAACACGATAGGATTGCAAAGTATAGGAAATGCAAAAAATTACTTTAAAATGTAAATATAACTAAACTACGTATTTGTTATCTTACTGATGCTCACGAGTCACTCAACCGGCCGTGTGGCTCAGCGCTGGAGCGAGGCTCCCAATGAAGTCACGATTTCAAATCCTAGTTGAGGATTGACCCAGCCTATCATTCATCCGGGGTCGATAAAATCGAGTACCACTTTGTGGGGAAGTTGATAGTGGTTGTCCTATGGACAGACTCGCCCTCCCGCCTGAGTGAAAGTGGAATGTTGACCACTGCCTTCCATGGATGTGAGCAAGGGGATACGAGCGGGGCATCTCTTTGCCTCCGATTATCACGGTTTTGCCACGTACGGCGCGCAAGAATTTCAACTTACGTGGTGCAGTTGTAAAGTGAGTGAGTGACCCCGGGGCGTGAGCGTCTCACCTCGGCTCGTTCTCACTCACAGCCTGCACGAGCCCCAGCAGTAGCATCAGCAGCAGCAGGCAGCTCCAGCACTGCAGCAGCGGCGGCGGCGGCGGCAGTGGCAGTGGTAGCGAAGGAGTAGCAGAGGACCTTCCTTCGTGGGCCATGGCTTTTCACGTCCCGAGGAGAGAGACGCGGCCGCTGATCCCGGTCCGGGGCAGAGCTGGGAGCGAGCTCGGAGCCGGCGGCGGCACGGGGGATGAGAATGGGATCTCTTGTCCGGAGGCAATAACTCACTCACTCTCTCTCGTTTGGGGTTGGGGAAAAAATGTCTGGGGGGAGGTGGGGGGAGAGTTTCGGCTTCGGGGGGATGGGGGGTGGTGAGAGGGAGAGAGGAGTGGCTGACTGGGGGAGTTGTGAGGTGAGTGAAATGAGGCCAGCGGTGAGGGAGTGGGTGGAGAGTGCTGCGAGGAGACGCCCTGGGTAAGTTAGGATAGTAGATACGCTATTTAAACTTGTTTTCGTTGACCAGGTAAGACACCACTGAGCGATGTAGCGCTTTTTTTTCAGAAGCGACCTGGCTATCACATATGGTAGCTCAACGAAGAGGGGACTTCTCAGCACGTGGACATTTATAGTATCATACAAATACTCTCAACTCGTGGTGATATTCATTCTAGAGGGGGGGGGGGGGGGAAACGCGACCACGAGCAGAGAGAACGAGTGAGAGAGACACCACGAACTCCTAATATACATTGCAGGCATCGTCAGGATCGGGAACGAACCGACGACCTCCTGTATACTTGGCGAGCGAGATAACAGCTCCTCCTGTATACTTGTGGCGAGAGAGATAACAGCTCCTCCTGTATACTTGTGGCTAGCGAGATAACAGCTCCTCATGTATACTTGTGGCAAGCGAGATAACAGCTCCTCCTGTATACTTGTGGCGAGCGAGATAACAGCTCCTCCTGTATACTTGTGGCGAGAGAGATAACAGCTCCTCCTGTATACTTGTGGCGAGCGAGATAACAGTTCCTCCTGTATACTTGTGGCGAGAGAGATAACAGCTCCTCCTGTATACTTGTGGCGAAAGAGATAACTGCTCCTCCTGTATACTTGTGGCGAGCGAGATAACAGCTCCTCCTGTATACTCGTGGCGAGCGAGATAACAGCTCCTCCTGTATACTTGTGGCGAGCGAGATAACAGCTCCTCCTGTATACTCGTGGCGAGCGAGATAACAGCTCCTCCTGTATACTTTTGGCAAGCGAGATAACAGCTCCTCCTGTATACTTGTGGCTAGCGAGATAACAGTTCCTCCTGTATACTTGTGGCTAGCGAGATAACAGCTCCTCCTGTATACTCGTGGCTAGCGAGATAACAGTTCCTCCTGTATACTTGTGGCTAGCGAGATAACAGCTCCTCCTGTATACTTATGGCTAGCGAGATAACAGCTCCTCCTGTATACTTGTGGCGAGCGAGATAACAGCTCCTCCTGTATACTTGTGGCGAGAGAGATAACAGCTCCTCCTGTATACTTGTGGCTAGCGAGATAACAGCTCCTCCTGTATACTTGTGGCGAGCGAGATAACAGCTCCTCCTGTATACTTGTGGCGAGCGAGATAACAGCTCCTCCTGTATACTTGTGGCGAGCGAGATAGCAGCTCCTCCTGTATACTTGTGGCGAGAGAGATAACAGCTCCTCCTGTATACTTGTGGCGAGCGAGATAACAGCTCCTCCTGTATACTTGTCGTGAGCGAGATAACAGCTCCTCCTGTATACTTGGCGAGAGAGATAACAGCTCCTCCTGTATACTTGTGGCTAGCGAGATAACAGCTCCTCCTGTATACTTGTGGCTAGCGAGATAACAGCTCCTCCTGTATACTTGTGGCTAGCGAGATAACAGCTCCTCCTGTATGCTCGTGGCTAGCGAGATAACAGTTCCTCCTGTATACTTGTGGCTAGCGAGATAACAGCTCCTCCTGTATACTTGTGGCTAGCGAGATAACAGCTCCTCCTGTATACTTGGCGAGAGAGATAACAGCTCCTCCTGTATACTTGGCTAGCGAGATAACAGCTCCTCCTGTATACTTGTGGCTAGCGAGATAACAGCTCCTCATGTATGCTTGTCGTGAGCGAGATAACAGCTCCTCCTGTATACTTGGCGAGAGAGATAACAGCTCCTCCTGTATACTTGTGGCGAGCGAGATAACAGCTCCTCCTGTATACTTGTGGCTAGCGAGATAACAGCTCCTCCTGTATACTTGTCGTGAGAGAGATAACAGCTCCTCCTGTATACTTGGCGAGAGAGATAACAGCTCCTCCTGTATACTTGGCTAGCGAGATAACAACTCCTCCTGCCCACTGCAGGGCTCCACTAGGTCCGCATGGGCGCTTGCTTGCCACTCGATGCAGGACCCTCCTGAAATTGAGTTTTAAAATATTCAGTGAGGCTTTCCTGGTTAAACTAAAGGGCATTGTTATTAAAATATACCACTCCATATACCACTCCATTCGTTGGGGGTTAGATCGCGTAAATATATAAATGTGTCGTTAAACCCACCACCACCCGAAACAGCCAATTAGTCAGGGGTTTGTCACGTAAACAGAACATGCCAATTCTTTATTAGTTTGGCACACCGGCGTGTTGGAGAATAAACCCACAACATTTACAATTCTAGTGCGACGCTTCGCCGGTAATTACAACCAGCATCATCAGGCGACAGCCACAATGTACCAACTCAAAATCCGCCAATGGGGGAAGTTGCCGGAACAAGTCGTGGATTCTTTGAGGGGGCCCAACTCCACGACGAGTGTTACAAATCAGAATCGGAATCTTTATCTATCCAAGTGGCGAGGCTCCGGTTGTCATCTTTTCCACGCACAAAACCCGCACATATTTCTCATTCGTCCTCGGGCCATCAATGACCGTGCAAGTCTACTGCGATGTAAGTTCAACACAATTCCACGGGATCTTGGTACAAGGCCATACCTGTCACCGCAGAACAGATGCCAATTTCCCGGACCCGCCAGGGTCAAAGCCGGATCAGGTGGCAACCCTAGGCGTGGCAGTGAAGAGGTCGGTCGAGATGAAACTGCACTGAGCACAAGGATTGCATGATTGTGGGACGGAGGAATCTTGTCGAGTCCGCAGTGGAAGGCACGCATCCTTCATGCTGCCCACTCTGCTGAGCGAGAAGTCACGGCGAATGCCGCCAAACGCGGCGACCGAACGTCGATCATCGATCTCCCGGTCTCCAGAGCAGCAAAAACAACAACAAGCCACGCCAACGGCCCTCTACAGGGCCAAACAACAACAATAACAACACGCCAGAAACATGTAAGAGGTTATTTAGATTATTATTTTTAGCTATAAATGTCCACATGATGAGCCACTTCGTTGAGCTATCATCGCACCCCCGATTAGCACGGTTGGCTACGTACGGTGCGAAAGAAGTTCAATATACGTACGTACATTTGTGACCAGGTCGCTTCTGAAAAATAAGTTAATACCTCAGTGGGCTTTGCCTGGTAGGATGGGGATGATTTAGTGTTGTGTTTGGGCGACTTGTATTGTCGCCCTGTATATGCACTCCCATCGTGTGTGTGTGTGATGTTTGTTGAAACAGAACTTCTTCATCGCTCATCGGATTCCTCCAGTATTAACTACAGATTCAGACCTGAAAGTTGCCCTGCATCGCCATCAGCAGCCAGACGACTTCGAGAAGAAGACGAATGTGGAGCGTTTATGTCCATTGCCTGGCGGTCGAACGCCTGCCTCGCCACGTCAGAACCCAGACACCTCTCGCCACTGATGTTAGCCCTGGTCGGGAATCAAACGCAGGTCGGAGCCGCACAGTGCGCCAACCACCGCGCCACCGCTCTTCCGCCCAGTTCGAAAGGATTGGTCCAGTCTTCTTTGGTTCTTTCGGTAAAGTCACGTAGAATGAGAATAAAATAATAAATTAATATAATAAAATAACACAATAAATGTCCACATGATGAGCGAGAATTTGATTGTGCTATTTTACTTTATTTATTTATTATTTTATTCTCATTCTACGTGACTTTACCGAAAGAACCAAAGAAGATGAATCCTTGCAGTCACGAAAGCTTTAAATCGAGATTGGTCCAGTGTCAGTGAACAGACACATGTTGTTCAGCTCAATGACAATTGCCATCAGCTGGGAAATTGCTCGCGAATAACGCTGCAAATGGTCACACGGCGGGGGGGGGCAGGGCCGGGTCAAGGCGTGGGGGCCTTAGGGGCTGCAGCCCAGGGGCCTCCGTCAGCTGGAGGGCCTCCAGAGATGAAGTGAAAAGTTATTTCATTTTGTGAACTCTGAATTTTATTTGTTGTTAGCATTGTAAAAATAAATTATATATATTTTTTAACTTTGTATTCCTTTTGAAAGTATTACTGGGGGCCTCACAGTACCCGTCGCCCAGGGGCCGACACAATATTCATCCGGCCCTGGGGCGGGGAGGGGTGCCGAGTGAAAGCCGCCGATTCGTGGCTGCCCCCTGTCGACCCAGCTGTGCATGGCAGCGTCTCGGTGACTTTCTCGCTTTTGTTTGCCCCAGGAAAGCCTCACTGATGAGTCTCAAGACTCTTTTTTTTCTCTCAAGAGGGTCCTGCCAAATTTTCTCAGTAAAGGGGCGAAGCTGCTGCTGCTGCTGTGTGATCCCGATTAGGTCATTTTTGTTTGTAGGTATTTCTTCAGCATTGAGATGTTTGGCCAAGTCAACGTTACCCAAATGTAACTCACCGGTAGATGTGGAACTCTTCATGGATTGATAATTGATTAATAAGATGTAATTCTCATCAGGTCCCACGGTGTAAAGTAAATTCGTCAACAATTATTATCCATTCCTTCTCTCTGGCCTCTCAATTCAGGTGCTGTGAAGAAAAGAAATTGTCTGAAAGTTCGGTATAAAACATTTAGCATTTTAGATCATAGTCAGTTTAACACGTAGGCTTTCGCGACCAATATCATCCATGACGAATTGGCACGTTCTGTTTACGTGACAACCCTTACTAGTTGGCTGTGTCTGGTGGTGGCGGGTTTTAACGACACATATTTACACGATCTAACCCAAAATATATCTATTATGTTAGATCATAGTGTCGCTATAATGTCAACATTTAACCACCGCAGTGCTCTTCATTGCAAGGCCCCGCGGGGGCCACTGGTGGGCCCTGGTGGCCTTCAGTGCGGCCCCTCGACAATGGACAAACATTGCAGGCGGTGTGGCGGCCCTCGCACTGGCGACGTCGTTTCGGCGAAAGTGCCCCCCCTCTGAAAACGAGTGAAGCCCACTGAACTTCTGTGGAGCCCACCACCAGGGGCCATCCATGGGGGGGGGGGGGGGGGGGTGGCGGTCCTCTATAAATGCAGAATTTTTTAAGCCAACGAGTGTGTAAATAAAATTAAAAAAACCTCACGATATTTCGATTGCAACAGCTTCAGTTTATTTATTTTGGTATAGCCCTGTGAGCCATTCGGCTCTTGAATCGGGTGCAACCACAACAAACAAAAAAACAAAAACACGAACAAGAAAAACATCTTAAGGTGACTGTGACTGTGCAAACAGAAAATACATGAAAAAAAACAGCAAAATATTCCTGAAAAAGCACCGTACACCAACGCTGTGTGCAAAAAATCCCAGTGGGATGCAAGTCAAACAACAACCACAAGATAACTTAGATTAAAGCCATCAGTCTAACTCCGTACTACAACAAAAACAAACATGTCCAAACCAAAAAACATTTTCCAAATCACCAAAAAATAAAGCCATAATTGCAACGTAACAGAGATCACAGGGACTGTGACCGAATTTTCTTTTCATCAAATGTTGATGATTGCTTGTGTTGCATACGAAAGAGTATGTATTCCTGCAGTCACGAAAGCTTCAAATCAAGATTCAACGAGTGTGTGTGTTTATACATGCGGGAGGAACCCGGAGCACTCGGGGAGAACGCACGCACGCTACCGGGGGGTGGGGTCAGCGCCCTGGAGACCACTCCCTGTGCGTTATCCCGCCATCTCCTGGCCAGCCAGGGTATACGGCTCTCGCAGTGCCCCACGGGAAGGGAGTTTCACGGCTGCGTGTGATCCACCAATTCCAAGCCGCGTGTACAGACATCGCCGCCCGGGTCATCTCAAAGCCAGAATGCGAATCCTACATCGCGATAAACGCGAACCCCGAGCCCAACGCTGACCTCAACCCTGTCGTTGTTACTCCACGCTAAGCCCACAACACAAACACCATCTGGGTATAAAAACTACGAACTATTTTTTTTATGTCTACCAGGTAAGACCCACTGAGCTTTACGGTTCTTTTTCAGAAGCGACCTGGCCATCACAAATGAGAGCTCAGCGACGTGGCTTATCACGTGGAAATGTATAGCGGCCAAATACTCTAAACGCACGTTTCTAAATGTGGAGACAAAAACCGCAGGACCCGGTGGACAGAAGCACGCAAACTTCAAACACGACATAGAACTAGCGTCAGGGTAGGGATCGAACCCACGGCCTCCTGTACACCAGGCGAGGTAGTTAACATCTCGTAGCCACCGTAGTGATGATAATGATGATAGAGAGACACACAAACTCCCAAGTATACAGCAGGCTCGGGATCGAACCCACGACCTCCCGTACACCAGGCGAGGTAGTTAACATCTAGCCACCGTAGTGATGATGAGAGAGAAAGACACAAACTCCAAGTATACAGCAGGCGTTAGGGTCGGGATTGTACCGACGACCTCCTGTACACCAGGCGAGGAATGTTAACATCTCCTAGCCACCGTAGTGATGATAATGATGACAGAGAGACACACAAACTCCCAAGTATACAGCAGGCTCGGGATCGAACCCAGGACCTCCTGTACACCAGGCGAGGTAGTTAACATCTCCTAGCCACCGGTAGCGACACGAGCGCGTGATCCCCAGCGTCAACCGCGCCTCGAGCCGGAATTCCGCACGGAAGGGCTCGTCACGGGGCAGGGCGAGGGTTACCGGGGCTGGCGTCTGGCCTTGGTGCTGAAACAACGCGATGCGACTTAACCGCCCGCGGCTGCGCGTACGCTATCGCCGATTTATTTGAACATGGATTCGAATTAAACGGGGATGAGAACTCGATTAAAAAAATAACGTGCGCGCGCAGCCCAGCGATGAAGTCGAAAGTGGTGGTTGTCCTGTACGGAGAGACCCGCCCCGTCATAGGAACGCGGAAAGTCCACCGTTGACCGACTCGGGGCTGTGACTCTGAGCCGGGCGCCGGATGCGTGAGGACGTCACGGCGGGGCGTTCCGCTGTCGTGCGGGGAGCCACCGGGAGTCGTGCCGGGAGGTCCGACGCGGGCACTGCAGCCGGGCAGGCCTCCACGACTCGCGCGGGAACAGCGATTCCGCCTCCTCTTCTCATCTCCGTAGCGTGACGCGCCAATGATGCACGCATCCCCACACCGCAGTCGGCTCTCTCCTCCTCTGCCGCGCGCGTCCTCCTCTCTCGCTCCGCTCGGCGTAACGCCGCCGGCCGCCTGAGCATGCTGCTCACGCCGACGCCGCCGTCGCTGCTGCTGCTGCTGATGTCGACGCAGTCCTTGAGCGCTCTCGAGGGGGTTGCTGCTGCTGCTGCGTGGCCGCGTTCCCCTCGCCCCGTGAGTGCCGCGGCGGCCTGAAGCGCCGCGTCGCGCGTGCCGACTGCGCATCTGTAGCGGCAGAGGTCAGAGAGGACGAGCGGTCTCGCAGAGCTTGACGAGAGGCTGACGCCAAGTGCGGGAGAGAGAGCGAGCGAGGGGGAGAGCGAGAGAGGGGGAGAGCGAGCGAGCGAGAGAGACACGATGGAGGAGAGGCGCAAGCCGTCGCTGGTGCTGTCCAGCCAGATGCCGGTGCAGGCGCTGGAGCGCTTCATCACGTCTGGCTACCGCAGCCCCGGCTACAGCGCGGCGCAGTGCCTGCGCTCGGCCTTCATGTGCACCAACGAGACGCTCAACTTCTGGACGCACTTCCTGCCGCTCTTCGTGTGTCTCGCCAAGTTCTGGCAGCTGCTGCTCCTGCAGCAGCAGCAGCAGCAGGGCGACGCGCAGCAGCAGCTGTGGCCGCTGTGCGCGTACGCGATCGGAGTGTGCTTCGTGTTCACGTTCAGCAGCGTGGCGCACCTCTTCAACGCCATGTCGCTGCGTGTGCGCGACCTCTGCTACTACTTCGACTACGGCGCCGTGAGCATCTACGGGGCGGGCGCGTCCATCGCCTACTACCACTACGTGAACCCCAGCCTCAAGGTACTCGACCGGGGCTTCATGTCCGAGTGGCTGCGAGAGCGCTCGCCGCGGCTGCTCGACCCGAACGCGCACGGCGTCTTCTGCGCCCTGCTCGACCGCCTCTTCAAGCCCCTGGCGTTCGCCTTCTCCGTCGTCTGCACCGTCGCCTGCTGCCTCAGCCGCCTCAAGCGATGCAAGCACCGCTACGCCATCCGCACGCTCGTCTTCCTTCTGCCGCAGACCCTGACGCTGCCCGTCACGGCCGACCTGCTCGTCTTCTGGCCCGACGTGCGTCACATCACCGCCGCCTTCGCCGCCAACTTCGTGCGCCACTTCACGTGGCTATTCCTGGCGGCGCTCTTCAACATCAGCAAGCTGCCCGAGCGGTGCCTGCCCGGCGCCTTCGACATCGTGGGCCACAGCCACCAGTGGTTCCACCTCTTCACCTTCCTCGCCATCCTCGACGAGATGTACATGATCGAGGAGGCCATGTCGGCCCACCTCGGGGGCCTCCCGGGCGCCGCGCCCGACTTCGCGTCCACCGTGGGCTTCATGCTGGCGCTCATCGGCTGCACGTGGGCCATCATCTACGTGTTCAGCAGGTTCACCGGGCGCCGGGCGGACGCCGGGGACAAGGACAAGTAGCCTCGCCGCCTCGTCCTCGCGGCGGCGAGCACAACGAGACCGCTCGTGTGTCTGTGTGTGTCTGTCACTTGTGTGTGTGTGTCTGTGTCTGTCACTTGTGTGTGTGTCTGTCACTTGTGTGTGTGTGTCTGTGTGTGTGTCTGTCACTTGTGTGTGTGTCTGTGTCTGTCACTTGTGTGTGTGTCTGTGTCTGTCACTTGTGTGTGTGTGTGTCTGTGTGTGTGTCTGTGTCTGTCACTTGTGTGTGTGTGTGTGTGTCTGTCACTTGTGTGTGTGTGTGTGTCTGTCACTTGTGTGTGTGTGTGTCTGTGTCTATCACTTGTGTGTGTGTCTGTCACTTGGTTGTGTGTGTCTGTCACTTGTGTGCGTGTGTCTGTGTCTGTCACGTGTGTGTGTGTCTGTCACTTATGTGTGTGTGTGTCTGTGTCTGTCACTTGTGTGTGTGTGTGTCTGTGTGTGTCTTTTTGTCACTTGTGTATCTGTCACGTGTGTGTGTGTCTTTCTGTCACTTCTGTGTGTGTGTGTCTGTGTGTGTGTCTTTCTGTCACTTGTGTATCGGTCACGTGTGTGTGTGTCTGTCACTTGTGTATCTGTCACGTGTGTGTGTGTCTGTGTGTGTGTCTTTCTGTCACTTGTGTATCAGTCACGTGTGTGTGTCTTTCTGTCACTTGTGTATGTCACGTGTGTGTGTGTGTGTCTGTCACTTGTGTGTGTGTGTGTCTGTGTCTTTCTGTCACTTGTGTATCTGTCACGTGTGTGTGTCTGTGTCTGTCACTTGTGTGTGTGTGTCTGTGTGTGTCTGTGTCTGTCACTTGTGTGTGTGTGTCTGTGTGTGTGTCTTTCTGTCACTTGTGTGTGTGTGTCTGTGTGTGTGTCTTTCTGTCACTTGTGTATCTGTCACGTGTGTGTGTGTGTCTGTGGGGAGCGGTGGTGTAGCGGTTAGCGCTGCGCTATGAACCTGGCGACCCGGGTTCTATTCCCGCTCACGGCCAACACCAGTGACGATCTGAACCGTTCCTGGGCCTCCCCAAGGTCGACTCGGCCTCAAATTAGTACCTGGTGCGGTGTGTAAATATCGCCACTGGGGAGACAAAGGCGGCCGGTCGGGGTGTTGGCTACTCACCCCCTCGTGTGCCGTACAGACCTTCACAGGTGCTCGCTATCAGCACTTGCCCCTACAGTCTGTTAAAGCTACACGGGGATCTTTGTCTTTTTTGTGTGTGTGTTCTCCCATTCTCACCCCTCTCTTAGACTACACAAGCATGCGTGCTCTCCCACCCTCCCCGTCTCCTAAGTGCACAGGCATGCGTGAGGTGCGTGTGTTCTCGCTCTCTCTCTCTCTCTCAGATATGTGGAGTGGCCGGGAAAGTACCAAGGGTGCTTGACATTCATGTCGTCATTATCCAATGTATTTTATTCGTTTGTTAACGTATTTTACCCAGATAGCCCCTTGAGATGGTTTCACCCTGGGTACAGGTGGAACCATCTCATCATCATTTCGTTGCGCACGGCCGAAAACCGGCAGATTGTCCATATCAAGAACTACAACTAAAGCTGACAGATTGTCCACATCAAGACCCATAGCTACAGCTGACAGATTGTCCATATCAAGAACCATAGCTGACAGATTGTCCATATCAAGAACCATAGCTACAGCTGACAGATTGTCCACATCAAGAGCCATAGCTGACAGATTGTCCTTATCAAGAGCCATAGCTACAGCTGGCAGATTGTCTATATCAAGAGCCATAGCTACAGCTGATAGATTGTCCACATCAAGAACCATAGCTACAGCTGGCAGATTGTCCACATCAAGAACCATAGCTACAGCTGACAGATTGTCTATATCAAGAGCCACAGCTACAGCTGGCAGATTGTCTATATCAAGAGCCATAGCTACAGCTGATAAATTGTCCACATCAAGAACCATAGCTACAACTGACAGATTGTCCATATCAAGAACCATAGCTACAGCTGACAGATTGTCCATATCAAGAGCCATAGCTACAGCTGACAGATTGTCCACATCAAGAACCATAGCTACAGCTGACAGATTGTCCACATCAAGAACCATAACTACAGCTGACAGATTGTCCATATCAAGAACTATAGCTACAGCTGACAGATTGTCCATATCAAGAACCATAGTTGACAGATTATCCACAACAATAGCCATAGCTACAACTGACAGATTGTCCATATCAAGAACCATAGCTACAGCTGGCAGATTGTCCATATCAAGAACCATAGCTACAGCTGACAGATTGTCTATATCAATAGCCATAGCTACAGCTGACAGATTGTCCATATCAAGAACCATAGCTGACAGATTGTCCATATCAAGAACCATAGCTACAGCTGACAGATTGTCCACATCAAGAGCCATAGCTACAGCTGACAGATTTTCCATATCAAGAGCCATAGCTACAGCTGGCAGATTGTCTATATCAAGAGCCATAGCTACAGCTGACAGATTGTCCACATCAAGAACCATAGCTACAGCTGACAGATTGTCCACATGAAGAACCATAGCTACAACTGACAGATTGTCCATATCAAGAACCATAGCTACAGCTGGCAGATTGTCCATATCAAGAACCATAACTACAGCTGGCAGATTGTCCACATCAAGAGCCATAGCTACAGCTGGCAGATTGTCTATATCAATAGCCATAGCTACAGCTGACAAATTGTCCATATCAAGAACCATAGCTGACAGATTGTCCATATAAAGAACCATAGCTACAGCTGAAAGATTGTCCACATCAAGAGCCATAGCTGACAGATTGCCCATATCAAGAGGCATAGCTGCAGCTGACAGATTGTCCATATCAAGAGCCATAGCTACAGCTGGCAGATTGTCCACATCAAGAACCATAGCTACAGCTGACAGATTGTCCACATCAAGAACCATAGCTACAGCTGCAGATTGTCTATATCAATAGCCATAGCTACAGCTGACAGATTGTCCATATCAAGAACCATAGCTGACAGATTGTCCATATCAAGAACCATAACTACAGCTGACATATTGTCCACATCAAGAGCCATAGCTGACAGATTGTCCATATCAAGAGCCATAGCTACAGCTGACAGATTGTCCATATCAAGAGCCATAGCGATAGCTGGCAGATTGTCTATTTCAAGAGCTATAGCTACAGCTGACAGATTGTCTACATCAAGAACCATAGCTACAGCTGGCAGATTGTCCACATCAAGAACCATAGCTACAACTGACAGATTGTCCATATCAAGAACCATAGCTACAGCTGACAGATTGTCCACATCAAGAACCATAGCTACAGCTGACAGATTGTCTATATCAAGAGCCATAGCTACAGCTGACAGATTGTCCATATCAAGAACCATAGCTACAGCTGACAGATTGTCCACATCAAGAGCCATAGCTACAGCTGGCAGATTGTCTATATCAAGAACCATAGCTACAGCTGACAGATTGTCCACTTCAAGAACCATAGCTACAGCTGAAAGATTGTCCCTATCAAGAACCATAGCTATAGCTGACAGATTGTCCATATCAAGAACCATAGTTACAGCTGGCAGATTGTTTATATCAAGAACCATAGCTACAGCTGACAGATTGTTCACATCAGGAACCATAGCTACAGCTGACAGATTGTCCATATCAAGAACCATAGCTATAGCAGGCAAGACGTCCACAGCAATAGCTATTCTGACGAGCCGATTTTGCAGGGCTATGATGTAACAGCAACCGCAAAGCAGACAGCATTAACGACGCGCGGCTATGCTGTTGCATGATTAACAGAGCGACAATAGCCTTGTGTACCAGCTGTAGTGTATGTAACAGCTGTGCTGGTATTAGCTGTATTAGTAACAGCTATAGCCATGTGTACCAGCTGTAGTGTCTCTAACAACTGTATTAGCATTAGCTGTATTTGTAACAGCTATAATTATGTGTACCAGCTGCATTGTATGTAACAGCTGTATTGGTATCAGCTGTACTGGTATTAGCTATGTCCATGTATACCAGCTGTATGTTATGTAACAGCTGTATCGGTATCAGCTGTATTTGTAACAGCTATAGTCAGTTATACCAGCTGTAGTGTATGTAACAGCTGCGTTGGCTACAACTGCAGTGGTGTGGGACAGCTGTTGTCTACCAGCTGTAGTGGTGTGTCACAGCTGCAGTGGTAACAGCTGTAGTGGTGTGTGACAGCTGTTTTGTACCAGCTGTAGTGGTGTGTCACAGCTGTTGTGTACCAGCTGTAGTGGTGTGTCACAGCTGCAGTGGTAACAGCTGTAGTGGTGTGTGACAGCTATTTTGTACCAGCTGTAGTGGTGTGTCACAACTGTTGTGTACCAGCTGTAGTGGTGTGTGACAGCTGTTGTGTAACAGCTGTAGTGATGTGTCACAGCTGTTGTGTACCAGCTGTAGTGGTGTGTCACAGCTGTTGTGTACCAGCTGTAGTGGTGTGTGACAGCTGTTGTGTAACAGCTGTAGTGGTGTGTCACAGCTGTTGTGTACCAGCTGTAGTGGTGTGTCACAGCTGTTGTGTAACAGCTGTAGTGATGTGTCACAGCTGTTGTGTACCAGCTGTAGTGGTGTGTCACAGCTGTTGTGTACCAGCTGTAGTGGTGTGTCACAGCTGTTGTGTAACAGCTGTAGTGGTGTGTCACAGCTGTTGTGTACCAGCTGTAGTGGTGTGTCACAGCTGTTGTGTGCCAGCTGTAGTGGTGTGTCACAGCTGCAGTGGTAACAGCTGTAGTGGTGTGTGACAGCTGTTGTGTACCAGCTGTAATGGTGTGTCACAGCTGTTGTGTACCAGCTGTAGTGGTGTGTCACAGCTGCAGTGGTAACAGCTGTAGTGGTGTGTGACAGCTGTTTTGTACCAGCTGTAGTGGTGTGTCACAACTGTTGTGTACCAGCTGTAGTGGTGTGTGACAGCTGTTGTGTAACAGCTGTAGTGATGTGTCACAGCTGTTGTGTACCAGCTGTAGTGGTGTGTCACAGCTGTTGTGTACCAGCTGCAGTGGTGTGTCACAGCTGTTGTGTAACAGCTGTAGTGGTGTGTGACAGCTGTTGTGTAACAGCTGTAGTGTTGTGTCAAAACTGTTGTGTACCAGCTGTAGTGGTGTGTGACAGCTGTTGTATAACAGCTGTAGTGGTGTGTCACAGCTGTTGTGTACCAGCTGTAGTGGTGTGTCACAGCTGTTGTGTACCAGCTGTAGTGGTGTGTGACAGCTGTTGTGTAACAGCTGTAGTGGTGTGTCACAGCTGTTATGTACCAGCTGTAGTGGTGTGTCACAGCTGTTGTGTAACAGCTGTAGTGTTGTGTCACAGCTGTTGTGTACCAGCTGTAGTGGTGTGTGACAGCTGTTGTGTAACAGCTGTAGTGATGTGTCACAGCTGTTGTGTACCAGCTGTAGTGGTGTGTCACAGCTGTTGTGTACCAGCTGTAGTGGTGTGTGACAGCTGTTGTGTAACAGCTGTAGTGGTGTGTCACAGCTGTTGTGTACCAGCTGTAGTGGTGTGTCACAGCTGTTGTGTAACAGCTGTAGTGGTGTGTCACAGCTGTTGTGTAACAGCTGTAGTGGTGTGTGACAGCTGTTGTGTAACAGCTGTAGTGTTGTGTCACAGCTATTGTGTACCAGCTGTAGTGGTGTGTGACAGCTGTTGTGTAACAGCTGTAGTGGTGTGTCACAGCTGTTGTGTAACATCTGTGTTGTGTAACAGCTGTAGTGTTGTGTCACAGCTGTTGTGTACCAGCTGTAGTGGTGTGTGACAGCTGTTGTGTAACAGCTGTAGTGGTGTGTCACAGCTGTTGTGTAACATCTGTAGTGGTGTGTGACAGCTGTTGTGTAACAGCTGTAGTGTTGTGTCACAGCTATTGTGTACCAGCTGTAGTGGTGTGTGACAGCTGTTGTGTAACAGCTGTAGTGGTGTGTCACAGCTGTTGTGTAACATCTGTAGTGGTGTGTGGCAGCTGTTGTGTAACAGCTGTAGTGGTGTGTGACAGCTGTTGTGTAACAGCTGTAGTGGTGTGTCACAGCTGTTGTGTAACAGCTGTAGTGGTGTGTCACAGCTGTTGTGTAACAGCTGTAGTGTTGTGTCACAGCTGTTGTGTACCAGCTGTAGTGGTGTGTGACAGCTGTTGTGTAACAGCTGTAGTGGTGTGTCACAGCTGTTGTGTAACATCTGTAGTGGTGTGTGACAGCTGTTGTGTAACAGCTGTAGTGGTGTGTGACAGCTGCAGTGGTAACAGCTGTAGTGGTGTGTCACAGCTGTTGTGTACCAGCTGTAGTGGTGTGTCACAGCTGCAGTGGTACAAGCTGTAGTGGTGTGTGGTTGCGATCTGCTGCCGTTGAGCAGTGGAGGTGACGTCAGCGTCACGAGCCTACTGACCCAATGCGCTCAGGTTAGAGTCCTGGTCAGCACGCTGCTCTGCCAGGGCGACTTGGACTTTAATGAGTGCCTGATTCGTGAGTGTGGTAGTGTAGCGGGTAGCGCTACGCTGCGCTACGAACCCTGGCCACCCGTGTTCGATTCCCGCTCACGGCCAACACCAGTGACGATTATCTGAACCAGTCTTGGGCCTTCCCTAGGTCGACTCAGCCTCAAAATGAGTACCTGGTACGGTGTGTAAACATCGCCACTGGGGAGACGAAGGCGGTCGGGCGTGGTGTTGGCCATCCACCCCCTCGTGTGCCGTGCCGGCCTCTATAGGTACTCGCTAACAGCACTTGCCACAACAGTCTGTTAAAGGCTACAGGGGGATCTTTGTCTTTATGGAAACATCAGCCCTGGGGGGAGAGGGGGGGGGGAGTCAAAGGCACAGCCAACCTCACAGTGTGCCGTGCCACCCTCTTGATAGGTGCTCGCTAACAGCGCCTGCCCGAGACGCAGTGCGGTGGTATGGTGTACGCGTGTGCATGTGGATCACTGTTGGTATGTACCGGACACGATCAAGCTACGTCACACGGGGGGAGGGTGGGGGTCCGACAACCTACATAACAAGAAGCGCAAATATTTTGTTTCGTAGAATTCGCTAAAAAAAATGCCCCATCAATATTTAAAGAATCCTCGATGCCACGTGGTGAATAGGAGACGGCGGTGGCGGTCCACGTCACTAAGCGGCGGTCCCTTCCACAGCCACCGCGTGCGGATCCGGGGGCCCGCGGGTTGCCGACCCTTGACCTCGGTGCGGAGGAGTCCGAGCGTTGACCTCTCCCGTGCGTTCTGTCGGTCTCATCGCGACGCCTCGCTATGATCGTTCGCGTCGCGTGGGAGAACACAGACACCACAATAGATCAACAGACGAGACTCGTCCTTCACGTGCCCGTGTCTCCACCACCACCATCAACACAACCACCGCGGGGTGTCCTTTATACAACCCCGTCGGCCCCACGCCCTCATTCAGTGCAAGCAAACTCGTTGTTATTACGAGTGTGTTGTACGGCCACACGTGGATAATGATCGCTATGTCACACAATTCTTGGTCCTGGGTACTAAGTGTTATTTTTTAAATTGCTTATGCCTAAATAGTATAGAAAATGGCTCTTATTATTCCCCACAAACTTTGCTTTTGTGACCGGGACTTTACGTAAAGAAATGACACAAATGCACACCACGTTTTGTCGTTGAAAATAGGTACATTTCAAAATATCACTGTCCTGGTCACAAAAGCAAAGTTTGGGGGGAATAATAATAGCCATTTTACGTACTTTTGAGGCATAAGCAATTAGGAAATAACACTTACTACCCAGGAACAAACATGTTTTTGTTACACAGTGTAATGATTTGAATGTATTTGAGCATATAAAGACTCTGTCCAGGACAATTCTATGCATACACGTCGACAGCACGGCACTAGGGGCCACGTTGTCCCTGCGTGTGGCAGCAGTATTGCTGCTCTTCAAGGAGCCAGATGCCGATGTCGAGGTCAGCTGCTGGCCACAACGAGAGGGCTTCAGGAGGGAGTTCCTTAGTGTCGCTTCGCCATTCTTCCTCCGTTGAAGGAAGCGCAGAACACCGTGGTTTTTACCATATGGTACGTAGTTTGGATGTACGTTGAACTTCTTTCGCACCGTACGTAGCCAATCGTGCTAATCGGAGATACGGGGGAAGGACAACAAACTAAACACACACAAAAAAACTGTTCTACATAAATTAGTTTCCAATCGAGATTTAAAAGGGCATAGCTACAGTGGGGCTCCTAATATCGGAAGGGCGTTCCAGACGGCCCAATAAGCGCACTTGAGAGCGCCCGCGTTG